ACCTTGCCGGCAGGAAACTTGCGGAGAAATTCAGGGGTGCGGTTGGTTTGGCCGAAATGGAAGTGGGGTGGTGCGGAGAGCACGCGGACTTGAGCCCCGCTGTACTGAGCAGCGATGAGGGCCTTAAAGGCCCTCCAGTTTTCGGGGTATGTGTACAAGGTCTGTGCAAAAAGGGGGGGGAGCATTAAGTAGAGGGTCCCGGTCCTAAATGTCACCTCCCAGAACTGCTCCCCATTTGTTCAACTCTTCACTGGTGAACCCAGTTCTTTAGTACCTGTCACATGTAATCAGAGTCCCTGGAAATTCCAAGAACAGAGCCACACACACCAACTGCTAAATAAAGCCTGCTGACTGAGCTGACCTTTCCTAAGGACACCTCGGAAAGCATTCTCTTCCCCCCCTATCTCCAAGCACCCCAGGCCGGGGCCCCCTCCCTCCCCTGGGCTTCATTCATTGATGGGTGCCCAGCGCCCGCCTACTGCTCAACGGGGCCGTTCCCCTCCGCAAGCATCACCCCGATCTCACGCCCACCAAGGCGCACGCACACACCCACCCAGACATGGTAAAAAGCCCCCACCCCGCACGGCCACGGAGATCCCCAAGGGCACCCCCTCTTCCCAAATCAACTCCTCACAATGCATGCAGCCTTCCTCCCACCACCCCGCCAACCTGTCCTGCAGCAGAGTCCCCCCGCGTTGCCTGGCTCCTACCTCGCTGGTCTGACTCCAGGCTCGAGGGTCCTTGCGTTCGCAAGCCCCTCGGCACGACCCCCCAATTGTGCCCAGTCGATCTGCCCACAAAGACGCCCCGCTTCCCCACTGTCCCCCGCTGCTGCCCCACGGAACGATCGCCAAAGTTCAGCCTGCCCACGTCCCACGTCTCCAGGCGGCACTGAACCTGACACCCCTTTCCGAGGCCTCAGAAGGTCCGAACCCCACATCTCGTTTCTGCTCGACCCTCGGACCCTGTCCACGTCTGGCCTCTCGGAGCTCCCAGCCTCAGTTCCCCTTGGAACTCCGGGAGCTCCAGTCTCCAATAGAAAGGTGTGCAAAGGCCAGGTCAGTTCCCCAGGCGGCTCCAAAAGTCCTCCGGCGACCACCGACCCCACTCTGGCAGAGGATGGCGGCGGATAGGGTGACCTGGCTCTCCAGAGCCGGCAAACTTACCCCAGCCGCCATGGTGATTCCGCAGAGAAAGGGGGTGGGGATCTAGGCGCTGCCGCAAAGTAAGCCGCCACAGGGGGAAGGGAGGGGCACAGAGGAGAGCCGCGGAAAACCAGCAGCCGGAAAGCGAGGACGACACAGAAAGCCTACGCACGACAGTTCTGAAACTAGCAGCGGCAAAAGGGGGTGGGGCCCGCCTAGCACGCGCCGACAAGCTGGCGCCTGCGCTGTACCGATCGCCTGGCTTCCTGGGCTCCCTGTGGGGAGGGGGCTGGAGGGGAGCTGCGTGCTGGCTGGAAATGCCTCCGATTCCCGAGTACGTGGCGCTGCTGTCAGCCAGTATTTTGAGAGATGCCCTGTATTTTATTGCTAGGGACTTTGGAGTTGACCACGACTTCTAAACGACCCTATTTATGATCAACTACAAAGAGGGATTCAGCCAACTTCCAGTCCAGAACTGTGGGACCCTGCAGTCAAACAGCTCCTGCGTGGAGGTGGCAGTTTGCCAAACTTCTTTAGTTCCCAGAAAGGGACCGCTGTCTAACGGGAACCCAAGCCCCCCTGAAACCATCTGTAAAAGCGAGGATTGCACTCTTCAAACCACCTTGCAATCTCCAGGGTATTTTTATTGTGAACAGAAAGGACAGTAGTCGAGAGGCCTCTGAGCAGGACAGGGCGGATGGGAGGACATAACAGCAGTCGCTTGTAGGGAGGCTGGGCTCCCGCTCTGTGACAGCTCGCGATTCAAGGTCGTTATATTCTGATGATTTGATTTCTACACCACCACAACCCTCCCCAGAATCTCTCAGTATTGCAGTTGGAAATTGTCTTTGAGTTCCTTGAGCTTGAGAAATGCAGAGTAATGAAAGGACCATTTATCAGAAACTCAGTTTCTAGTGAAGTACAGTTAACCCCACCCCACCCGCTTGAGTGGTTTTTTTAACGAACAACTCCCACCTGTGGTAAATCCCACCCTGATTGATCAACTGCCATAAAGTGGAATTCTTCTTCCTTTTAAGGGCACAAGGGATTTTTCCCCATTCCTGTATCTGAAGTAACTGATAAGATTCAAATAGGTTTCCAAACTGTTACCCTGAGCTATGGCTAGCCAATTGAAGGTGGACAAATACCCAAACTACTGTTGATGACCAATCATGGCGTGTATGGTTGGGCAGGGGAATAGCAGAGGTAATAAAAGGAGGGGCAGACATCAATTCGGGGCTCTCGGCTGGATGCTGCTGTGTCAGCATGAGGGAGCCCGGGTTCGAACTCGAAATAAACTTTGTTAATTCGGCTAACTGGCTCAGTGATCTTTTTGGGGACTCGCTCCGTTACAAGTAAATTCTTTGCTTTTTATTCTCCAGCTCCTGCACATTCCATTATAATACTTTGCTTTGTCTTCTGGAGCTGCCCTTTGAAATCTCTGTGCAGCTTTTTTACTTCAGCATCTCCTCCATTTGTTTTGGCTTCTCACTCCACTTCAATTTTCAGAATCTCTTCTGACATCCACTTGGGTGAGGATTTTTGTGTGTGTGTTTTGTTTCTTCTCTTCTGTAATGACCTTTTGCTCTTGTCATCATTGATTATATCCTTAATGTCACTCACCATTGTTGCAGACCGAGGGTAAAGTATTTTTATAATTATTAATGAGACAGACCACCAAGAATGAGATAGAACAGAGAGCATAAAAAACAGGGGGCCAGCAGTTCCCAGGATTGAAGGCCTCAAGCCATGCCTCTCTGAGTATTCATTGAGAATCATAAGGAAGGCAAACAAAAGAAAATCATAAGGGAGTAGAAAACAAAAACAAGGGGTCATAAGGAAGTCTTTTGCAAAAAAGGCCAAGATCCTCTCTATTGTTTATTTTATGCTATCTCAGGGAGGGATTCAGTAAATACAAACTAATAACAATGTTGACTCTTAAGGAATACCTTAGTGCCTTGGGGTGAATGCTAGCTTGTACTGTTGTTGTGCCATCCAGTTGACTCTATGTAAAACAGCCCTAAACTCTTCACTGTCTCTGACACACCCATCCAGATTACCCCAGTCACTGAATCAATCAATAGAGGGCCTTCCCCTCCTGCGCTGTCTCTCCACCCTACCAAGCATGATGTCCCTGTCTAAGGACCAGTCCACCCTTACAACATGTCCAAAGTATGAAGCCTCAGAATCCTTGCCTCCAAGGACACGCCAGGTTTAACCTTCTCCAGGATGAATCTGTTTGTTTTCCTCAATACTCTTCTCCAGCACCACAGCTCAAAGGCATCAGTTCTCATTCTGCCTTCCCTAGTCATCATTGTCCAACTCTCTGATGTATAACAAGTGATTGCAAAGACCATGCATAGCCTGTATCAAATGCACCTTAGTCTCCAGAGAGACACTATTGCTCTTAAGTACTTTGGAGAGGTCCCTAACAGCAGACTTTCCCATTGCAATACGTCTTTTAATTTCCTGGCTACTGGTGCCAAGAGTGTTGATTGTGGAGCCAAGCAAACTAAAGCTGTGAACAATCTCAATCTCTTCACTATCCAGCCTGATGCTGCAAATTGGTCCAGTGGTGAGAATCTTTGTCTTCTTGACATTGAGCCTCAATCCATATTGAAGGCTGTAGTCCTTGACCCACTGCAGCATGTGCTTCAGGTCCTCCTTAGTTTCAGGAAGCAGGGTTGTGTCATCTGCATATCGCAGATTGTTGATAGATCTTCCACCAATCCTGACCCCTCATTTCTCCTCATAGAGGCCAGCTGCCCAGATAATCTGTTCTGCATACAGGTTGAAAAGGTATGGAGACAGGACACATCCCTGGGGTATGCCCTTCCCAATTTTGAACCATGCAGATTTTCCTTGCTCTGTTCTGACTGTTCTGGGATTCCCATTCTTCTCAGAGTCAGTCTGTGTAATAAAGGTGCTTATGGATATTAAAATCCATTTGTCTTATTGGAAACTGACTATGGAAAGAACCCCTTGTGTTGTGTAACAGACTTGTTTTCATTTTCTTCAGCTTCAATTAATGGGTGGTCTGTTCCAGAGTCAGCACTTGGCCTGATACTGAGTTTCTCCAAAAGTTCTTTCTACGGATGTTGTCAGCCTGATTGTTTTGCAGTCCATCAGATGAGATTCTTATGTCAAGTCACCATTTGTGGTTTCTTAAAAAGGTACATTTGCGACTAATAAATCATTGAACATATAAAATTAAATCATTCCAATTTCAGATTCATTTCTGTCACCAAATTACTTTCCAACTACCATTTCTTCTTGTTTCCAACTTTTGTTTTCCAGTCACCAGTTATAATTAATGCAGCTTGATTGCATGTTTGGCCAGTGTTGGACTGCAAAACTTGGTAAAAACGTTCCCTTTCCTTATCTTTAACTATTGGCACGTATATTTGAATAATAGCTGTATTAACAGGTTTTCCTGAGTGCATATAGATAATATTCTATCACTCAAAACATTGCACTTCAGTACTGTTGTTGTTGTTATGTGCCATCGAGTCGCTTGCGACTCATAGTGACCCTATGTACAAGAGCTCTAAATGCTGTTCTATCCTGTGCCAACCTAGCCATCTCAAACGCACTTATTCCCACCGCTCCAGTCACAGAATCGATTCATCTCACCAAAGGTCTTCCTCTCCTTCGCTTCCCCTCCACTCTGCCAAACATGATGTCTCTTTCCAAGGAACAGTCCCTCCTTGCAACATGCCCAAAATATGTCAGACGAAGCTTTGGAATCCTTGACTCCAGGGAACACTCTGGCTTCACCCTCTCCAGGACAACCTGTTTGTTCTCCTAGCAGTCCATGGTATATTCAACACTCTTCTCCAGCACCACAGCTCAAAGGCATCAATCCTCTTTCTATCAGCCCTATTCACTGTCCAACTCTCTGATGCATGGCACATAATTGCGAAGACTATAGCCCGGATCAGGCGCACCTTAGTCTCCAGCCTGACATCGTTGCTCTTCAGTACTCTTGAGAGGTCCCTCACAGCCGACTTTCCCAATGCAATTCGTCTCCTGATATCCTGGCTGCTGTTACCAAGAGCGTTGACTGCGGAGCCAAGTAACCTAAAACTGTTAACTATCTCAATCTCCTCACCATCCATGCTGATGCTGCTAATTGGCCCAGTGGTTACAATCTTTGTTTTCTTGACATTTAGGAGGCTGTAGTCCTTGATCTTCTGCAGCAAGCGCCTCAGGTCTTCCTCAGTTTCAGCAAGCAGGGTTGTGTCATCTGCATAACACAGGTTGTTGATGATTCTTCCACCAATCCTGATGCCACATTCCTCTTTGTGTAGCCCAGCATTTCGGATGATCTGTTCTGCATACAGATCGAAAAGGTATGGAGACAGACTACATCCCTGTGGACCCCCTTCTTGATTTTGAACCATGTTGTGTCTCCTTGCTCTGTTCTGATGACTGCCTCCTGGTCCAAGAATAGGTTTCGCATTAGCACAATCAAATGTTCTGGGGTTCCCATTCTTCTTACAGTCAGCCACAGCTTGTTGTGATCCACACAGTCAAAAGCCTTTGCATAGTCAATGAAGCCCAGATAGACATTCTTCTGGTATTCTTTGCTTTCTGCCAAGATCCATCTGACATTAGCTATAATATCCCTCGTACCATGACATCTTCTAAATCCAGCCTGCACATCTGGCAGTTCTCTGTTGACATATTGTTCCAAACGTTTTTGGATAATTTTCAGCAGAATCTTGCTTGCATGTGATATCAATTATATTGTTCGATAATTTCCACACTCTGTTGGGTCACCTTTCCTTGGAATGGGAACAAATATTGATCTTTTCCAGTCAATGAGCCAGCTGGCTGTTCTCCAAATTTCTTGGCACAACTTAGTGAGCACATCCAGGCCAGCGTCTGTTTGTTGAAATATGTCAATTGGTATGCCGTCAACTCCTGGAGCCTTGTTTCTTGCCAATTCCTTGCACTTCAGTATAGATTGAAATTGTCTTACTATGAATGCAACACCATTCTTCTGTTTTTCATTCTTAGCATAGTGTATCATGTGATTATCTGATTCAAAGTGGCCAATGCCAGTCCATTTCATCTCCCTAATACCTAGAATGTCAATGTTCAAGCATTCCACTTAATTTTTCACACAATCCGGTTTTCCTACACTCATACTTTATACACTCCATGGTCCAATTATTAAAGATTTTTGCAGCTGGGTTTTGGTGGTTTTGGTTTTTTTTTTCATTTTGATTGAGTTACACTCTGGCCTCTACCTCTAATTCTATGGCTACCTGTGTTCCTCTATCATATTAGGGGAATGATTTGCATATTGCTAATTATTTTATAGTTTAGGTGTGTACACTTGCTTATCATTTGTTCTTAGGGCTAACTGGGGTAACTTGTGAGTTGCTATGATGCTGGAAACTATAGCACCACTGTGTCAAATGCCAGGATTCAGGCCAAGATTTTTTTTATTATTATTTAGTGAAGGGTTTTTTTTGTTTTTATTATTTTTGTGTGTTTACCATCAAATTGGATCTGACTGGTACAAGAGGAGACTGTCCCTCCTCCAGCAGAGCATCTGGTGGGTTCGAACTGCACGCCTCTGGGATTCAGGCCAAGGTCTTTTAAAGCACTTCTCTAAGTAAGGTTCATAGGTTGAACACTGTGACACTGATGTGTCAAAATGCGCTAATAGTTACCCATGGTGGACAGTGTTTGGTGGAGCTCCTAGGTTGAAACAAGCTTGGAAGCAGGAGTAGCATCCACTTCCGTAAATAGCTTGCCTCCAGAAACCCTATGAACCTGGAGAAAGGATTAAAGTCACAAACGCAAGTGTCAAGGACTTTTGTTCACAGGGTATGAGTCACCTACAACTCCATGGCCCTCAACAACACAGAGAGAGACCAGTTGGCCTAGTGGACCGAAAGCCATGCTACCAAGTCAAAGGTGGGTGATTTTAATCTGTGGCCCTAGGCCTGTTTTTCATTGTTTTCGTTCAGTCTTCTAGATCATATAGCCATGGTGTGTCCACTTGCCTTCCAGAGGTAACTCATGGTCGCTGTGAAGCTGAACACTGTGACACTGATGTATCAAATGTGATAACAGTTACCCATGGTGGACAGTGTTTGGTGATGCTCCCTGGTTGAAACAAGCTTGGAAGCAGGAGTGGCATCTGCTTCTGTAAATAACTTGCCTCCAGAAACCCTACAAACCTGGAGAAAGGATGAAAGTTACGCATGCAAATGTCAAGGACTTTTGTTCATAGGGTCGCTATGAGTCGCCTATGACTCGACAGCACTTAACAACATCTAAGTAAGAGCTGGACAATTGTGGGAAGCCAAATATCAAATTTAATATTAATACTTAACCAAGTGCTGCATCAGGAGATGCGGGAAGTGCAGATACAAACTGTATTTCACCCCCTGTAGCATTAAGGCAGACCTTAGGCGTTCACAAAGGTTAAGGACCAAGGCAGACCTTGGGCGTTTTCACAATTCTTAGCATGCCATCATTCAAGAAGCCCAGACCCAGGCCCCCTGTCTTGGACCCCTGCATCTGAGGTTTGCTGGGAAGGGAAGGAGGAGTTCTCATCAGGTGGAGATGAGAGAAAGGTGGAGACATGAGTATTAAACTAGCAGCTTTATTGCCCTTTAGCATCTGTCTTTACTTGAGCAGATGTCTCAGTGCTTGAGGGAGAAAAACCTGTAAGAAATGGTGGAGTTCAGGGAACAGGCCTTGGGAATCCTGCAGTGGGGTCACAGTGAGAGTCTGGTCCGCCAGGGAGGCGGAGGCCACAAAGGTCAGAAGGGGCCCAGCCTCCGGCCTCTGGTCCCCACCGCTCAGTCCTCTCAGCTCCTGGGTCACCAGAGCCTCAGTGAGCAGCCACTCTGCTCGGGAGCTGGCTCCAGACCCCTTAGTTTGCTGCTGTAGGCGTCTCCGGGCACGCCGCCGCCCCTGCCACACGCGGTGCCACAGGGCACAGCGCCAGCTCACCGAGGCAGAGAGCATTGTCCCCTTGGCTCTCTCGCTCTGTGACCTTCCTTGGGCTGCGTCAGGTCCCTTGGGCCCCTGCTCTGCCAGGGTGACAGGGCCTGACCAGCTCTCTTCTCCAGTCACCAGGGCCAGCTCCCCCGGCTGCTCAGGGCTCCGCATGGCCCAGTCCTGCCCTGCCTCGCCAACCTCCACCACCATCTCTTCCACCCCATCCTCGCTGTAGGCCCCTGCACATCCCTGCTGCTCCTCTGTCCCCTCCTCACACCTCTCTTTCTGTCCATCTCGTTTCAGTCTTTTGCTTGTCCCTCCCTGGGAAGACTCCCCAGCTCCACCTGCCTCTGACCGTGATCTCTTGGTTCCCTGCTCTATCTGGCACCCCAGCGCTTCCCTTAGCAACTGGGCCAGGGCCACAGTGAGCTGGGGGAAGGGAGCAGAAGGCAAGGGGATGGGTGTAGCAGACAGCAGGGTGCTGGGGGAGCTGGGCTGCAGCAGAGGGAGAAGCCCCCAGTCCCGACCGCGGGAGGAGCGCTGCTGGTACTGGAGGCTTCGGCAGTAATTGGCCGCAGCTCGGCAGCAGTTCTGTAGCCGCCCAGCTACCCGGCTGGTCACATTGGCTGCCACATTGTGACTCAGGTCAAAGGGGTCTTGGAGATTCAGAGGGCCGAGGCGCAGGCCCCCCCAGAGATTAGCGGGCAGACCTCCGGCCACAGGCAGTGCCTGGCCCTCCCGCAGAGACAGCAGTGAGCCTCGGAGATCCCAGCAAGACACACAGGAGAAGAAATGGGCCAGGAGGGAACCTGGAGGAGAAGGAAGATTGGAAGAAAGGGGTCACTTAACTTATAAGCCAATAAGGAGCCCTGGTGGCACAGTGGCTAAGCACTCAGCTATTCACCAGAAAGGTTAGTGGTTTGAACCGACCAACTGCTCTGCAGGCCAGACAACCTACTCTGTAAAGAACCCCCACGGGGCAGTTCTCTGGCCTCCAGGGTCACTACGAGGCAGAGCTGAGACTCCTAGGGGCAGGTCGCTCACTGGTCATTCCTCACCGCAGCTGTTTCGCTTCCCAACAGTTCAGTGTCCAGAAGCTAGAACTCTCTGATTCCTGCACACAGAGGTCCAGGCCCTCCCTCTGTAACTCCAGTCATCCCCTTCCCCCAAAGGGGCTCCTTCCTCTGCCTCGGGCAAGCACCTGGCTGCTCCGAGCCTGGTCTCTTGTCTGCAAACCAGCAGTAACAGTATTCACCACCCTACGGAGTGGTCCGAGAACCATGCTGGGCACACCCACCGGGATGAGCAATCCTCACTGGTCCTCTCCCCAGCTCTCAAGGCACAATTTGGTGGACAGAGAGAGGAGAGGAAAAGGAAATAGGAAAGGGAAGGGATCTAGAAAGACAGGGCAATGGTGGGCTTAGTTCAACAGTAAATAGGTTTGTGGTGTTTTTTTTTAATTGGTTTGCTTACAAAGTTTGTATACATGGTGTTTCACACTATTGCTTATTCATAGTGTTTCATACAATCATTTTCACGCTTTATGTTTTATAAAATTAATCACCATTGGACCATGCCTATCATGACCCTGTCTTTTCACCTGGATCCCTCCCATTTCCTTCCCCCTCCCCTCCACCCACCGAACTGTGCAACCCTATGGTTTCACCCCTACCCATCCTCAACCCTCTGCTCCCACCTCTTTCCCTCTAATGGTGATTAATTTTATAAAACATAACACACACTGAAAAACAATGAACTCATGAAATATTATACAAAATGGGTGACCATGGAGGACATTATGCTGAGTGAAATACCTCAGTCACAAAAAGACAAATACTCCCCAATCACTGAGCCGCCGCCGAGGACTCAGCTGCCTCCCCCTCGAGCCCCCTCGCTTCCCGATGCTCCGTCCCCCCTGCCCGCCTTCTCCCGCCACCGCCTTCCGCAGGCTGTTTCCACCGAGGAAAAGGAATCGTATCGTATGTCCGCTATCCAGAACCTCCACTCTTTCGACCCCTTTGCTGATGCAAGTCAGGGTGATGACCTGCTTCCTGCCGGGACTGAGCATTATACCCATATAAGAATTCAACAGAGAAACGGCAGGAAGACCCTTACAACTGTCCAAGGGATCGCTGATGATTACGATAAAAAGAAACTAGTGAAGGCGTTTAAGAAGTTTGCCTGCAATGGTCCTGTGCTTGAGCATCCAGAATATGGAGAAGTAATTCAGCTACAGGGTGACCAGCGCAAGAACATATGCCAGTTCCTTGTAGAGACTGGACTGGCTAAGGACGACCAGCTGAAGGTTCATGGGTTTTAAGTGCTTGTGGCTCACAGAAACTTAAGTGAGGATTTCCTTGCAATGAGTAGAAAATTTCCCTTCTGTCCCTTGTCACAAGTTTAAAACTTCACAGCTTGTATAATGTAACCATTTGGGGTCCACTTTTAACTTGGACTAGTGTAACACTTTCATGCAATAAACTGAAAAGAGCCATGCTGTCTAGTCTGGAAGTCCCTCATTTAAACGGAGGTCAAGCAGTAGGCACCTGACAGTGCCCCGCCTGAAACAAAGCAATAACGTTGATGTTTCAGCCCAACTCAGATCCCCAAGATCGTAGATGGCTATGTCTAGCCCCAAATGCCCCTACTCCAAAAGAAGGCCAACCCAGCACCTGAGCACCCCTAGATGGAGCTGAGAGGATGGGGTGAGGCTGCTGTACCACTAGAAGGAGCTGTGGTAACGAAAGAAAGATCACTGGTGTCTTCAGCCCAGCAAAGCAGGCAGAACTTAGGAGTGAGATGGGACATCTATCTGCCACCGAGGTCTTAGTTCTTTCTGACCAGACATAATCCTGAAGCCTTGTCTGTCCCAGAAAACACCAGGATGTGAGGCAAACTTCAGAGTTAAACTTTTGACAAGGGAACAAGCTGACGTATCAGTCCTAGCTAGCTGTAGAGCTTGCAGCTTGATAGCAACAGCGGCCCAATGCCCTGTGAAGGAACAACTGGTTCTCCCCCCACCACCCGTTTCAGTTTTAATGTTATGTAATGTATTTAAACTTATTAAAATAAAATTTGTTTTCAGAAACAAAACAAAAAAAAGACAAATACTGCATAATGCCACTGTTATAAAACAGGACTTACCTGGGGATTAGGGGGAAACTAAGAAAAGAGGGGATAAATAATGTACACGGCATTGAAACAGACGAGGGAGAAAACTGTATAAAAGGAATAAGAACTGCACAGTAAAGTGGACTGGAGGAGGTAACCATGTAACAATGAAAGAATTTTTTTCCCCCAAAGAGGAAAGCAAAGTGGGGGGAAGAGGAGGCAGGAAGGAAGATGTGCAAAAATGAATGAATGGAAATCCAAGTTCTCTATAAAATTTCATTAAAATCTCAATTTAAAAAAACACACCCATTAACGCATGCAAATGGTTGTATGAATGACAACATGAATGAAGGATAGTGTGAAACACAATGAATAATACGAAGTTTGTAAGCAAACCAGTGTAAAATAAAAAATATTTTTTAAAAAGAAACAATAATACAATTTTTAAAACCTCCAAAACTTACTGAGGGGCTCCACGTTGGTGCTGGGCTCCAGCCTTGAGGCATCCCGGGGGAAACTACAGTCCCAGCCGTCCACCTCCACCTGCTCCCCCTCACCTGTGAGCAAGAAAAGCCCAGCTCAGCTGCGCACAGAAGGGCGGTGAGGAGGTGTGAGAGGGTGTAGGGGACAAGGGGAGAGCTCATCTCCGAGCTGCGTGTGTAACTGTGACGACGGGCGGGATGAGCCTGCCGAGATCGCCGCCCAGGCCGGGCTGCTGTACCTGCTTTCTGAGTGAGCTGGGTCACAGCGGGTAACACCGGGGGGTCCCTGGTCTGAAGGAAGTAGACAACGAGCAAGGTCAAGGCGTAATTACTGAGAAGAGGGCCGCTTCCTGAGTGAATAATCCAGAATTCCAGTTAGAGATGCTTCCTGCCCCTTTCTGTCCACTTTTCTCAACATCAGCCCCGTCCCCATACCTGCCCCTCTTCCCTCCCTGATGCCCTCTTTCCTGACACTGACTAAGCGCCAAGGCCTTCCTGCTTCATCCTCACCTGACAGCCCTCGGCCCTGAGCCCAGCAGCGGACGGTGTACACCAGGGGTCGGACTCGCCCATCCAGCTCGGAGCAAAGACTCAGGAAGCGGGAGTTGTGCAGGGCCAGCCTAGGAGAAAGGGGAGACAATGGTGTGTGGGACCAGGAACCCTCTGAGTTACCCACACCCTGTTCTCATTCAGGACGTGGACAACCAGGGCCAGCTGGAGTAGAAGCCAGGAAGGGGTTTTCCAAAGAGGTGGCCAGAACACTGATCTCGTGAGAAGGCGTGCAAAAGGAGATCAAATGAGTTTGGGAAAAGCTATATCCTCTCTGCTCATCTCACGTTCACAGAACACGCTGGAAACTGCTCAGACTCTACAGCATGCAAAGGAATGAAGGAAAGTGGGCAAGGGGGAGAAGAAGTAAAAACTCATTTGCATTTAACCTAGTGTTTTCCAAACACAGTGAACCAGCACATCCTTTTCCACATCCCTTAAAAACCACTGTTCAGGGAACGCACTTCAAGGACATAGACATGGGGTCAGACAGGATGAGAGGCAGAGAGCAGTGCCAAGAGAACCTTCCCAGGGATCAATGGGCACAGGAGGGAGCCTCCCAAATCAAGACTCCCTCCTCACCCCCCCAGCCGAATTCTCAGCCGGTCTTCCCCAACCACCGCCACCCCCCAACAAAGATACCGGTTACTGAGGGAGACGTCACCATGGAGACCTGAAGGCCGATGGCAGAACTTGACCACCGGGCGCCGGGCAGAGGGCACAGTTTGGACTCCGTACACTCCAGGAACACAGCCCCGAAGAATAGATCCCACCAGCTCCAGCATTGCTCCCCCCTCTGCTTTCTCTGACTTCAAGGCCTCTGCTAGTTCCAGAGGCTTCCCTAGGTCCCCCTCTCCTCTGTCCTCCTGAAGGGGAGAGGCTGGAGGCAAGGACTGGGGAGAGGCCAGGGTCTCAGATGCCAAGGCTGAGTCTGGAGTCTGGGGCTCCAGGCAAGAAGGCGTTTCAAAGTCCAGGGCTTCCGAGTCTCGGGGAGAAGCTGGAGGCTGCGAGCCTGGAGGTGAGGCAGGGAAGCAGGCCAGGGCCTGCGAATCCAGGGGAGAAGCAAGCGCTGAGTCCAAGGACGGAGACTCCGGAGACTTGAGAGCGGGCTGTGGGCAGGAAAGAGTAATGAACGCTTCCTGTGCCAACACGAACCAGAGAGCTGCTCCTGTCTCCGAACTAAAATCAAATATTTACTGGTTCCTCTGTACTAGGCTCCATGCATAAACCCGTTCATTCCTCACGACCACTCTTTTTAAAAAGAAAAATAACCTCTCAAGTCCATAAAGTAAATGGTCTGTATTTTTAAATCAGTCACAAAAAAAGGAAAACCTAACTCTTCTGTAAACTTCTGTTAAAATCAATCACATACACAAAAAATTTTGTAAATGACAATAAGGGAGTTCTGGTGGTCTAGTGTGGCAAAAAGCTGCATTGCGATCCCAAAGGAGTGCGGTTCAAATCCACCAGATGCTCCGCTGGAGAAGGAGGGGCAATCTCCTTCTACGTCAGTTGGATCTGATTCGATGGTACACACACAAAAATTAACAAAAATTTAAAAAAAAATAAATGACAATAAGTAAAAGCAAGACATAAATGAAAATAAATAAATAAATAAATAAAACAAAACATGAAAAGAGACAGAGGAAGTGTTCCAGATCAAAGAAGACTAAGAGACAACATAAGGGAGCTCTGGTGGCCTAGTGGCAAGAAGCTGCACTGCAATCCCAGAGGTTTGCAGTTCAAATCCAACAGATGCTCTGCTGGAGAAGGAGGGGCAATCTGATTTGATAGTACACACACAAAAAAATAATAATCTTTTTTTTTTTAAAAAAAAAAAGAGACAACATAATGGTTCACTTTCAAGTTATCTGAGAAAATTAGAATTTAGACTGGAAGTTACAGGCTTGTTCCAGTGTTAAAATATCTTTGATCTAAGAAGTATAATGTGGTTATACAGTAGAATACCTGTATTCTTAGATAATCCATATTGAAAGAGTAAAGGGTAAGTGGGCATGTGTCCAATCTACTTTCTAATGGGTCAGCAAATACAAATGTGTTTATGTGTCTGTGTGTGCACAGAGAGAGAGAAGGAAAAATAACATCAATAAGTATAAAAACTTTCATTCTTATTCCAAAGAAAGAAGCCATGGTGAGGCAATGGTTAAGTGCTTGGCTGCTGACTAAAAGGCTGCCCGTGGGAATCCACCAATCACTCAGTAGGAGACAACAGGAAGCAGTCGCTTCTGTCAAGATTCACCCAAACCCACTGCTATCAAGTCAATTCTGAGTCACAGTTACCCTCCAGGACAGAGCAGAACCGCCCCCGAGAGTTCCCCAGGTTCTAAATCTTGGAACCAAACTGTCACACCTGTCTCCGATAAAGCAGGTGGTGGATTCGAACTGCCAACTTTTCACTTAATAGTCAAGAACCTAACTGCTGGGGAGTTCTGGTGGCCTGGTGGCCTAGTGGCAAGGAGCTGCAACTACAATCCCAGAGGCACATGGTTCGAATCCACCAGATGCTCTGCTGGAGAAGGAGGGGCAATCTCCTCCTGTACCAGTCAGATCCAATTTGATGGTACAGACACACACAAATAAACTAATTTTTTAAAAATTAAAAAAAAAATATATAAACAAAAATCTACAACCCAAAGTTCACTTTATTGTGTGTCTTTTAAAACATTATTTTACCACAATAAGATCATATTAGGCACACCGTTTTGAATTTTTTTCTCCTGTTCCTAACATTCATCCATGTTCACATTTCTCTACAATCACCCTGCCATGTAGATCCCATCATTCCCATTTTCCAGATGAGGAAGTCAAATCTAGAGAGGTAAGGCATTTGCCCACGGCTAGTAATAGGCAATTTGTTCTGACTGCCTATTCTCAATAGACCTTCTCATCAGCCTCTCGTCACTCACCTGAGGCTCTTCTAAGTCACCCAGATCCAGGAAGAGGTCAAGATCACAGCCATGGACGTCAAAGCTGTTAATGGACGAGCCAAAAGGCTGGACCACACAGCCTGAGTGCAGAACAGAGAATAAAGGTCAAGAGACATTAGGGAGAGCAGGGAGTGGAAGATGCCAGTACTAAAACCCCTGTCCATCAGGACAATGCTGACTCCTAGCGACCCCACACGACAGAGGGCAGCGACCCTGCAGGTTTTCAAGGCTGTGGTCTTTAAGGAAGCAGCAAGCCACACCTTTCTCCTGTGGAGCTGCAGGTATGTTCAAACCACTGGCCTTTCAGTTAACAGCACTGTCAAGGCTCCACAAGAGGGGTACAAAAAAAATCAAAGAGCAACCAAGAGACCCCCACGAGCAGCTGTGGGAGGATGGGGGATGCTGAGGGGGGAGGTGAAGGGCAGAGGCTCAGGCAGAATGAGGCGGGCACTGACTTACCAGGGAAGAACTCTGTGAAGACCTCCTGCATCAGGGACACCACGAGGCTCCGAAGCTGCCGCTCAGCCTCAGACAGCTCCCTCAGCTCCACGAGCTTCATCATCTGCGCCCCCACATCTGGCACCTCAGCGAGGGCTCTGGTCAGCTGGTGACTGTCGGGGGCCGCCCCCTTGGGGGACTTGGAAGCTGGACTCTGGAACTCCTTCTGCTCTCGTGGGCGGACCCGCAGGCGACGTCCTCCCAGGCTGTGCTGGGGCTGCGACAAGACGGCCTCTCGAGCACCAATGTCCCCCATCTCCACAATAGCAAACACTCCCTGGCAAAACACAACAGGGGGTCAAAGAGCAGGTGAAAAGCTTTGAGGTGAAGGACTAGCCCGTGAATAAAAGACTCTGGTGGCCCAGTCCTTGGAGAGTTGCACTGCTATCCCAAAGGGGGTACCTCTATGGGTACGAATCCACCAGGGGGTCCGAGGGAGAAAGATGGGCAATATTCCTCTGTGAAACGGACAGCCTTGGAAACCCCATGGAGGGTCAGCTATGGTTAGGTTCCAAGGGGGCAGCACTGAGTGAGTAAGCCTACAAACTGAGGACACTTGCTTGCTGTTTCCACAACAGCAGGGAACATTCATAAACGTACTTCAATGTGGATACCAGCCCACTACCACTGAGACGGTTCCCCTCATACTGGAGACCTCATACGCTACAGGACCAACAAGAAAGGGCCATAGAATTTCCAAGGCTAGGAATCTTCAGAGAAGCATCTTTCTCCCACAGAGCAACTGGTGGGTTCAAACTACCAACCTCTTAAGCAACTGAGAACTTTAACCACCGCACCACAAGGGCTCCCCTTTGAGGGTGGGATCACGTAAAAAGTGTACAGAATTCTAACAAGACAATTTGTCAGTTTTGTCATCATGCCCCGTTTAAAATGTGCCTTCCCCAGAGGCAGAAAGGAGAACCACTATACCACCAAGTCAGCAGCGGAGGGCAGGCACCCTCTGGTCCCAGAGTCCCTGCCCTGAGAACCTCTGAGACTCGAAGACAGAGACAGATGTAACACAGAGATGGCCAAAGACACCAAGAAGCAGGAGCTGAGAAATGGGAGCTGCGGAACCAGGAGGGAGGTGAGAAGTGGCACTAGAGCGATCCAGGAAGTGCGACACCTTTGGGTACTTAACAGCAGAGCTAAAGAGTTTTGTACCCCTTTCCTAAGCCAGAGAGAAGCTGGGCTGGGCCAAGGGACTGAGGCCCAGGCTGAGGGCTGGGGAGAGAGCCCTCTGGAGACAGAATGGAGTAACTGTTTCCCAAGTCACTTCTAATCCTGAATTACAACCTGCTGCTTCCCAAATAAACTCCAAAATTGTGAATACTCTGAGTTTGTATGGCCATTGCAATAAACTATTAAACACAGCAGACAAGCAGAGTATGCTGGGACAGACAGCTGGTTTCAGAACTTGTAAAAAAGGTTGACCAGAAGAAAAGTAGAGCAATCACCCCTGGATGCTGATGTACGGCTGTTAAAGCCATCACACTATCCCCCTGTGAAGTGAGATAAGGAGGCCCAGTGCTGCCACCATGCCATTTTTATAGCTGGTACCATTTTTTTCACAGCAATCCATCAACCACTGAATTGTATAGTGTGTGTGTGTGTGTGTGTGTGTGTGTGTGTGTGTGTGTGTGCGTGTGTACCGTCAAATCAGATCTGAC